CTGCTAAAGTAAAAAAAGTATGAGACTTTCTTATTCCAATGAATTTAACCAAATTGTGAAGTTTCATCAGTTTAGCCTCATATTATCAAATGTTTGTAAAAACTTTTTGAGGATCATATACCTGCTCAATTTGCTTCTAAAAAATATGTCCTGTATAAATGGGATGACTAATATTAAGAAGCCTTTGAAAAATTGAAACAAAGGCTAATAACAGCCTCTATTTTATACCACTCTGACTTTAACAGATCTTTCATCTTACATACTGACACTTCGTATAAGATGCTATTTTAGCCCAAAAAGATGAAAGTTGTAAAGAATATTTGGTAGCCTATGCAAGTAGAGAGTTGAATGATCCAGAAAAGAATTATTCTACCACTGAGATAGAGTGTTTGGCTGCTATTTGGGCTATGCAATACTTCCGTTTCTACATATATGATAAAGAATTTGAATTAGTAACTGACTATCAAGCTTTAAAGTGGCTTTTAAACAATCCCCAACCTACTGATAGATTTGCACAGTGGATTATGATTGCTGCAGAATATCTGTATACAATATGTTATAGAAAAGGCTTAATATATGCCAATGTCGATGTCCTATCAAAAATTCCTCACTAGCCTCTGTGAAGAAAGAGAAATTATTAATAATAACGTAAATCAACATATAAAAGGAAGTAAGAAAAAAAAATATATATATATATATATATATATAAAAAAATATATATATATATATATAAAAAATATATATATATATATAAAAAAAAATATATATATATATATAAAAAAAAAATATATATATATATATAAAAAAAAAAAAATATATATATATATATATAGAGAAACACTTACTTGTAAATCCTTTAATCTAGTCCAGATTATGGTGTCCTGACAAACAAAAAAAAAAAATTTTTTAGAATAAAATTTTTAAAAATGAACCTACAACAATACCAACAAATTAAAACATACCTGGAAACTACTAAAGTCTCAACAAATTGGGATTACAAGCAACAAAGGACATTTAAAAGACAAGCCGCCCATTATTTTATTGCCAAAAATCTTCTATATTGTAAAAGTAAGATTAGCAAAGGAACATTATTACGCATAATTAAAAAGAATAAATTAAAAAAAATTATATATAGACTTTATTCCGATATTATAGCGAGGCACTTTGGTATAAAATCAACCTATAATCAAGCTAAAGATAAGTACTTTTAGCCACGAATATACAAGACTATTGACGAATACATACAAACCTGTGATGTGTGTCTACGACAAGAAGCTCCACAACTATATGAAGAATTATATCTACTTGAAGTGAGAGCTCCTTTTAACAGAGTCAGAATAGATATCATTGGCCTCTTCAAGAATATAACAGAAAATAAAAATTATTATATTATAGTAGCCACAGAATATCTAACTAAATGGTTTAAAGCTCGTGCGATTCCTGATATAATAGTGCCTACTATAGCATGGTTTGTTTATAAAGACATTATTTGCCAACATGGTTGTCCCAAAATCTTGTTATCTGATCAAAGACATTCCTTCTATAATAAAATTGTTAATGCTTTGTGCGAAATTATGTTTACCCGTCACTGTCTCGCTGCTGCCTACTATTTACAGACAAATAGCTTAACTAAAAGATTTAATAAAACACTTTGCTCTACTTTAGTAAAGTTGGTAGGAGACTATAAAACTAAATGGGACACCTTGTTGCTCGCAGCTCTATTCGCATATCAAACTCTCCAAAATCATATTACTAAGCACACTCCTTTTTACCTTATATATAGATGTCAAGCCACCGTACCGTTGGATCTACAATTACAGAAGGAAAAAAGATCGATAGAAGTATCATTAGAAAAATTGCTATAACAACATATTGAAAAATAACTAAACAATTGTATCAAAAGAGGCTTCAAGTCTAAAGTAATATTCATAGAGCCCAACAATGACAAAAAGAGTATCATGATGAAAGAATTAAGCCAGAAAAATTTAAAATTAGAGAACAATTCCTATTGTATGAATCTGTTAAAAAAAAGGTTCACAGTAATAAGTTGAGAGAAAAATGGAAGGGTCCTTATTATATCCACGATTATGGTGCACTCAGAATATACAAATTATAAACAGTAGAGAGAAAGGTTCTGAAAAATTTAATCAACACAGATCAGCTAAAAAATATTATAACCATCCTTTGTGAGAACCCACTATATATGTTTAAAATTTTATCGAAGAGATGGCAAAATTAAAATAGTATCAAGCGGAAAAATTTCTAACAAAGATTATCCTAAAATACATGTAATATGTGTCACTTAAGGAACCTCATGCTTTAAAGGGGAAGGAAGTATAATATAACTAATTATTCTTAGATAGGATATTACGCACACAACAATCACGTGACATCGACGAATGGTAACGATCATGTGATATTAAAGAACAACAATGATCACGTTGCTCAACGAACCTTTCGTTTAATCACAATTTATTATTTTCATTTTATTTATTCTATTTTATTCATTTAGTTAGTAGTTCTTTTATTATCTATTTATTTATTATTTATCAATACAATTAGTATTAATAAAGAATCGTTATGCATAACGTCATTACGCATATGATCATTATGCATATAATTGTTATGCATATGATCATTACGCATAAATCATTATGCATAAGATCGTAACAATAGCACTAAATACAAAATTAAGGAGGTTACAAAGTAGTCTAATAAATAACAAAGCCTAAAAATAGATAGTGAGTTAGTAAAACAATTCTATATAAAAGGTACATGTAAAAGACTTTGTAGAGGGTGATTTCGAAGCCTCAAAATACTTATCTAATAAAAAGCCCAAAATGATTCTTTTAAAAACCCAACTCAACTTATATAATCAAACATTACAATTACAATATATCGATTAGTACGAAAATAACAAGATAAAAATTGGTTTCTTAGATATAAAAAAAATAAAATAGAGTTTAGTAAAAAAACAAATATGAGTTATGTAAATCTAAAGCAATATATATCAATTAAAACAAATATATATGTATCTAATAAATTAAATTTGTTTTCGATCAAGCAATTATGTAAATAATGTTTTGATGACATAATACACTAAATATAAATAAACTTTAATTAATTTAATTACAAAAATTGATTATAACTAGTTACAATACTAGCTTGAATCGGTCTTCATAAATATCTAATCAAAATAATAATGTGTATACAATATTTTTTCTGAGATTTAAATCATATTCTTTATATTTTGATTTATAAAAAGCATAGAAACTATTTTGTATAGCTGTATAACTTATTAAAACTACGCATGATAAATCACTATCGTATATTTATATATTAAATAGGGATGAGTTATTCTAGTACAGTCCTGACCTCCAACTATTAGCAAAGAGAATAAAATCACATAATATCAGTAATTAATTTTTTAAAATAATTTTTTAAATCTCAGATATTTTATATTTAATAACATGCGTAAATTTTTATTAAAGTAAGTATTTTTGCATTATTATACTTTATATTTAATGGCTCGAATAAATTTTATATAAATAAGTATTCTTGTATTATTATATCTTTTTTATTATAAGTGATTGATATCGTTAGATATTAATTTTTTTCTTCTTATACAATAGTTTGTTAAATATAAATACAAGCTTAATATAAAAGATAATAGTAAAAAAAATTTTGATAAGCGAATTTTTGAAAATGAACAACACATCCAGAAATACTATACCACCTTATTCCGCTAGACCTATTACTCATTTTCAATCTAACCTTCTCCAAATTTTAAACCATGATAATAATAATATTGCTAAACCTCATCAACTACCCAATTCTAATAATAATGGTTCTTCTTCTGATTCAATATTTAGAAGTGTTAGAAGTATTTAACAAACATTTTCGAATATGAGTAACCGATATCAATTACACCAACTATCCTCTACTCACTCTTGTCATAAATCTATAACTTATCACCTGCTATGAATCAAGATTTTGCTATAGATCTCACCATATTGATCATAATCGATCAGTATTCCTGTCGCAATGATATTCTTCAAGACATTTATCACAACAACAATTACGAAATAGATCTCAATTACATAATAGCAATAGAAGATTTGCAAATTGTACAGATAATCAACATAATACATATATAAGGAGGATTTTTTTTTGACAATTTTCAGATTCTTTTTTTTTTTTTTTTTACATTTTTTTTTCCTTTTTTTTTTATATTGTTATATTAACAATTTTATTAGTTAAATTTATTTAGATTATATTATATTTTATTAGTCAATTTTTATTAATCAAATTTTATTAACAATTTTATTATGTATTTATTATATATTTTCTTAAATTTTATTATATTATTTATATTATTATTGTATATTTTATAGTATTATTAGTTTATTTATATAGTTTATAATATATTTTATTTATTTTAGTCGCTCAAATGATAGTTTATTATTAATTTTATTAGGATAGTTTTCACAGAATTCCATTTAAAGCAATAGTTATTTAATTATTTAATTTATTAGTTTGTTTAATATAAACAGAACCCAGACCAAGTTACTCGAATACAAATGGTGTCTCAGGACAGCTCAGAATGATGTAACAACAACATTAAGGATAAACAAAGCTAAACAAACCCAAAATAGCAAAAGTGCCCTTGCTATATCAAAAGGTGCCCATCTTATATTAAAAGGTGTCTATCCTATATTAAAAGGTATTTATCCTATATTAAAAGATGCTCTTGCCATAGTAAAAGGTACCTAATCTCTAATTTTAATCATTCTAAGGTGCCAATTCACTATCTAGAAGTGCTCATCCACTATATAAAAATGCTCATGCTATAGTAGAAAGTGCCCTTCCATTAATAAAAGATGCCCTTTCTTAATTAATTACTATATTCTATAGTAAATTAATATATCAAAAAAGATATATAAACCCTGCCTCTTTCTCTAAGGCAAGAGGATAGTTGGTCCTTGTCTTTTAGTAGTTTTTGACAGCTAGTCTGCAAATTCTGGTCCTTATAACACTATAATTATGCACTTTATATTGGAAATCAACCCTTTATTACATTTTTATTTTTTAATTTTGTATTAGAAATAAGTTCTATTTTTGGTATTTTTTTTATAATTTTTGTTGGAAATAAGTCCCCTTTTTTGTGATATTTTTCTGAAAACTATTATATTTTTCTTGAGTTATATATTTGTTATTATTTTGAGTATTTTATTGAGTTATATTTTTGATTTATATGAGCTATTATTTGAATATTATTTAAGTATTTTTCTTGAGTTATATTTGTTTTATT